CGCTTTGCACTCCAATGTAGTGCAGTCCTTCCATCCTGAATATTAAGAGGAATGAAATCATAAACAAACAAACCACATTCAGAGGTTTATTTTCAAACACTTCTGCACTCAGTTTGATTCTTTCTATGAAAAAGAAATGCATATATTGACATTACTATGTGAATGCTGAAGTCAAGTTTTGTCACCTTCTACAAAATCAAGCTGCACAATTGTTTCTCCAAAAACAAATTCCAACATTTTGATCATGGCTTGTAGCAAATGTGAGATTATGTCCATGTGGTTCAAAATAAACAAAATAATTATAATAAAACAACAACAAATTTGCAAAAAGTGACATCAAAATTTTGGTGGGAAAATTATGGTATCCAAAATGTTAATGAATGAATATTAATTATTACATTACATGTATAGAAGACTTACCCTAGTATCCTGGATATCCAGATGTGCTTTACTTTCTACCAACAATCTAGCAATCTCCACTCTGTGATGCCATGCACTCCAATGTAGTGCAGTCTGTCCATACTGAATATTAAGAGGAATGAAATCATAAACAAACAAACCACATTCAGAGGTTTATTTTCAAACACTTCAGCACTCAGTTTGATTCTTTCTATGAAAAAGAAATGCATATATTGACATTACTATGTGAATGCTGAAGTCAAGTTTTGTCACCTTCCACAAAATCAAGCTGCACAATTGTTTCTCCAAAACAAAAAGTCAATCACAACATGCAGCAAATGTGAGCTTATGTCCATTTCAGTCATATTTAACCAAAAATAATTTTGAACAATTGTAAACAAATTTGAAAAAAGTGACATCAAAATTTGGCGGGAAAATGATGGTCTTCAAAATGTTAATGAATGAATAAAAATGTATTACATGTATAGAAGACTTACCCAAGTATCCTTGATATTCAGATCTGCTTTACTTTCTACCAACAATCTAGCAATCTCCACTCTGCCATCTGTGCACTCAAATGTAGTGCAGTCATTCCATCCTGAATATTAAGAGGAATGAAATCATAAACAAACAAACCACTTTCAGAGGTTTATTTTCAAACACTTCAGCACTCAGTTTGATTCTTTCTATGAAAAAGAAATGCATATATTGACATTACCATTTAAATCCTGAAGTCACATTTTATCACCTTCCACAAAATCAAGCTGCATAATTGTTTCTCCAAAAACAAATTCCAACATTTTGATCATGGCTTGTAGCAAATGTGAGATTATGTCCATGTGGTTCAAAATAAACAAAAGAATTATAATAAAACAACAACAAATTTGCAAAAAGTTACAACATTTTGGCGGGAAAATGATGGCATTCAAAATGTTAATGAATGAATATAAATTATTACATGTATAGAAGACTTACCAAAGTATCCTGGATATCCAGATCTGCTTTACTTTCTACCAACAATCTAGCAATCTCCACTGTGTCATACTTTGCACTCCAATGTAGTGCAGTCCTTCCATCCTGAATATTAAAAGGAATGAAATCATAAACAAAGACGTTTATTTTCAAACACTTCAGCACTCAGTTTGATGCTTTCTATGAAAAGGAAAGACATATATTGACATTATCATTTGAGCGCCAAACTCAGATTTTGTTATTTTCCACAAAATCGAGCTGTATGATTGTTTTTCAAAAAATTAAATTCAATCACAACCTGCAGCAAATGTGAGATTATCTTCATTTTGTTCAAAATGAACAAAGGAATTCTAAACAAATTACAGATAAATGTTTCATCCAAAATTTGGCGGGAAAAATGATGGCGTTCAAATGAGTAATGAATCAATATTACCGTAGGTGCAACAAACCCAAAATCAGCCATTTCGTCAGGTAAATGTCGTGATAGTTTGCAACATTACCAACAATCTGGATGGTTACACTAATTTCCAATCAGTTTTGAAAACACAGACAGTGCTGCACATGTTATTTTGGCATTTTTCTATCATGCACAACCTAACCACCCAGTCATTCAGATCGCAAAACAGAAATGCACTGACTGGAAGGCCGACTTATAGAGGTATGCAGAGATGTTGCGCCCAGTTTAGCACATGTATAGAAGACTTACCTCATGCTAGATATCAAGAGTTGATTTATTAAAATCTACCAACAATCTAGCAACGTCTACTATGTACAACACTAATGAGCCCAGTCGTTTCTACGCATGAGTATGATCAGAATTAAATCATAAACAAACAAACCACGTTCAAAAATCTATTTCCCAACACTAGAGGGCGCATTTCCAAATATGATGAAAAAATGTAAACACTGCTCATCCTGTACGTGTAACACAAAATGAGATTGTCGGTCATATACAGAACCAGAGTAAACATAACCAGTATATGTTTGAGTTGTATAATAGTCTTGTTTTTCGTTACAAGTGAATGTGAGTAGTTAAGGTCGTATTATAGGGACGACCATGAGGGCGCTGTTCATACTCGGATGCGATGACGTCATACGTTCATACTCGGATGCGATGACGTCATACGGAGAGGGATGACGTCACAATGGGAGGCCGTGCATAGCTTAGCATAAATAATGACGTCACAATGGGAATTCATGCATGAATTAGCATAAATGAGCGTCCATGGCCGTAAAGGGGATAATTTGAATGAGGATGACGTCACAATGGGATATTTTAATACATTTGCATAAATTACCATCAATTTTTTGTAATTATTTTGTTTAATTATTTTTAATTATTTTTAATTATTTTTTTAATTGGACAGGTGTGGACGAAAGATTTGTCATGAGGATGACGTCACAATGGGATATTGTGAATACATTTGCATACATAAAATTGATGTGAATACGAGGTCGTGTCGAGGTCATCGTGATACATTTGCATAAATTACCATCATTTTTTTTA